AAGAATTCACTCACGAATGTGCCCCCACACCCACCATGGAGCCACAATTAGAGACAGGACACCCAACAAGAAGCTATCGCCGATCTTGTCGGGGCCTCCTAGGGGTGCGTCGTGAGTATACGCCCCACAAACGCCACCTTAAGAAACCGACAGTCCGTCGAGATCGGGTTCAGTGACGAAGTGGGGATTGACAATAAAAGGTTCCCCTCGCTCTCGACGTCGGGTACTGCAGTTCTACGGGTGCATGAGTATGCCTCCTCAAGCACCCGGGCGTCAAAATAGAAGAAGTCCATGGAAGAACCAGAACGAGCAAAAGGTCGGCAGGAAACGGCAAGCAGATAGGAGAAGAGGGGGGAGAAAAACGAAACAGAAGGAAAAGGAAAAGGTGCCCAGCAGAATTGGAGAGGACGGCAGCAGGAGCACAAGGCTAGAAAAGGACAGAGGACTGTCCTAAGGAGCATCACACTCCGGCAGCCGCCCACGAAGCCCCCACACGGCGACAACGAGCTGAGCGGGGAGGGGGTGGTGATTGACGTAACAATATCAACGCCATCTAGGTTGTGCATTCGATTACTATTTCAGTTCCCTCGAGAAAGGTTGGCATCCAAAGTTCTCTTTGTATACTTTCTGTCTGGCTAATGACTTTTATGTCAACAGAGGTGTCGTGGAGAGTTTATTGCGCTGTGAAACTCAGTTCACCTTGGGCAGTCCCGAATTCCTGACTTGGTCCTGGGAGAGGACAAGTGGCCGCCGTCGTTAGTAAACAGTGTGATAGCTGTTGTACTTACGCAGTGTTGTGTGGACCGATGTACCTTGGGTTTGACCAAGTGGAGTTACTGGACGACAGTAATGGTGGTCTGCTGAGAAGTGCTGCTAGTGTGTTGCTAGAGACTTCTGCCAGGGTGTTAGAGACCCCTGGAAGTGATTATTTGTGACCCCTGTCAGCAAGTTGCTGAAGCCCTCTGCCACTGAGTGTCTGGAGAGCAGATGTGGGGTATTGGGACATCGTGACGATACGGTGTGGGGACTGACCCATGTTGAGGAAGGTGAACTCACTGGTGACTACCACTGAACGTGGACGACATATACTTGAAGATAGTTGACTCATGGGGATTTGAAGAGTACTGCAGAGATATTGAGTGTCCTGGGTGAAAGCGACACTGTGGATATAAGTATATACTTCCATAGATAATATATTGGTGAAGGTGTAATTGCATCTTGTTTAACCTCCCCCCCCCTTATTTCTTGCACTATTACTTGCTACCGCCAATTCTTGAGAACTTACCATTGACTTGGGAGGTGGGATCATAGAAGAGGCTATAAGGCACATTAAACAGAAAGAACCCTGTTACTGGCTCAAGCTGGCCATAACACAGTCCCGTGCACGTGGGTAGGGTTACACCCACTGGGTACCCACGCGTTCTGGTTGACGAGCGCGTGGACCCATGCTTGTCTGTCCTGGGCGAGATTACCTTACTTGTCACTTGACCTCGATAATGTGACCTCGTGTGGAATATTTTCCATCAACTTTTTACCATAACATGTCTAACATGGTCTATGAAAGCACATGGGCCAGGCATAGCTATTTATTGAACCAGCCAAGCTCTTTTGAGACAATCAAGTGAGCATATTGTGACTATTTTGTGGACTTCATCCCAGAGAGTCATCTATACTATAAATGAATCCATATCAAGATAGGTAAATACATCTTACAGCTATAAGCATATTATTGTAATATGCCAAAATAAATGCATATACTCAATAAATAATTACTCATAGAAATCACACTAACGTGATGCATCAAATGAACAAATCCACAAGGGCCGTGACGAGGAATCGAACCTGAGTCCGGGAGCATCCCAGACACTGCCTTAATCGACTAAGCTACGACAGGGTTAAAAGAGTTGAAACCGAAGTTCTACCGAACTTACTGGATCCCGCAGCCTCTCCGAGGCACAAACCAGGGTTTTACACAACTCCCCCCTGCACTCGAGCTATGTCAATAGGCCGTAATCAAAATAATTGTTTAGACAAATACGTTTTGTTAACATTTGTATAAATAGATCATTAAAAGAGGCAGGGCAATGATTCCCGTCTTGGTGCGGATCGCAGTCTATGTACAGACGCTGTTACGACAGAAGTAAACATCCTCCTCTGCCAGGAAGATACTCCACGGTGGGGGCGCATCCGATCCCACGATCGTCGTCGCTCCTAAATTAACAAGAACACTCCACGATGTTCAAGCTGCTTAATTGCCGCCGTTTAACAACCATGAACCTGATTGGTGGTGTCAACGGCACAATGTGTACTAAAAGCAATGCACGCCGTTTAATGTGAAATAAGGGTGTGTCTTGCCATGAACCAGTGAGAGGATTGTGTGGATACACTAACACCACAGCTGCAACACCACACACCCTGCCACACTATGTACACAAAACTCTGCCACCACACAAGGACCAGATCGGTGGTGTTAACAGTATATAAATGAGTATAAACATTAAGACACTATATTTTAATGAAACAAGTGTGTGTCTTCCATAAACTGAGAGTGGAATGTGAGCAACACCGGACTACCCCAGCCAGAAGCCGTCAGAGTCTAGGCAACACCATTCCAACATCAGTAGTGAACAACACTACAAGCTCTGGTCCTACAAGAGGGCTAAAATCTTAGTACCATAAGATAAGAGCTCCGTACCTGCATCTTACTAAAATAAGAGAAGTTGGTGGTGTTGTATTAATAGTAATTGGATCCAATTCTTTGTGCCACTAACCCCATTATATTGCAGGTGCGGATATCACCATGAGCTTACAAGCTCACCTCAGTAAGTGAGTTACTTTAAATTAAATTAAAACCATATTAACTAAGTTAATCCGTGTATGACAAATATTTGATATTTTGCAATTGCTTAAAGACAAACTAAAGAATACATGTGCAATAGATAATATTATATCATTATATTATATCATTATATTATATCATTATATAATCTTGTCAGTGTTTATAATAATTAAAGTGGCAAGATGCCAGATCAAAAAGATAGGCTAGAATAATTTGTGACCATATCAGTGCTAGCTGCATTATAAATATTAATTTTTACCAAGTGGTAAGTGAGATTTTCCATTCAACAAGTAAAGGAAAGCAGCCCCATTTCTGTTGGATCACTCTGAAAACTGAGTCGGTTAGGGAACACAGAATAGATACAGTCCATTACCCCAAGATAAAACACAGTTTCCCAGTAGCTAGTTAGTTTCTTATTGTAGGGAGTTAGACGTTAAAAGAAATCCTTCACCTCATACGAAGATCACCTCAATACGTCCCACACACACACAGCTCTTGGGACAAACATCACAGCAATTGTCACTAATGATGCATCACTGGCAATCACTTGCTCTAAGACTCCTCATGTACATGACACCGAGTCTTGCTAGTAGTTACATGTTACTAGCATATATCGGTACACCACCCACTCCAGCTGTGTGAGGTCCGCCTCACACTGGTTTCCTCCATAAAAAAACACGTGGCTCCACAAAGCTCTAACACACAAATATACTGTCCGTAACGACCACCAGTGGTCGACCACGTGTCCGTGACCGTCGCCACGTAATTGCAGAAATCCTTTTAAATGATAAATCCAATTGCACTGCAATTACAAGTGATTTATTCTGGCAATTTGCGATGTTGCAGGATACTAATACTACAGACCTAGGTGAGTATGAACTGCCCTGGAGCTCTGTGGGCAGCGTACGCTTCCCCTTGAAGGCTGCAGTCCGAATTGTCACCAGGATTCCGTGACAACATCACTTGTTGACCAATGACATTGCTAGTCCTTCGAGTCTTTGTCTATAAACATACCTGATTGGCTTGTGCACCTGGTCCCACTGCTGATGTACATCATTAGTTCTATACATTGGCGCTAGGAGGTGTTGTACCCAGATTATTGTGCTAACATAAGTCAGTATCTCGCTGTCATATGTGCTGGCAGCGGAAGAAGTTTATAGTGTTTCAAGGAGGATAATGGTGTGACAAATTGATTCTGGACAGTGAGTGGTTGGCTCCCTGGTCAGGGTAGGCCAGTTGGCTGCTCAGAGCCCTCATATCGTGCTATCGATATATCATACTATCGAGGTATCGTTCTCTCTCTCTCGCTCTCTCGCTCTCTCGCTCTCTCTCTCTCTCTCTCTCGCTCTCTCTCTCTCGCTCTCTCGCTCTCTCTCTCTCTCTCGCTCTCTCTCTCGCTCTCTCTCTCTCTCTCTCGCTCTCTCTCTCTCGCTCTCTCTCTCTCTCTCTCTCTCTCTCTCTCTCTCTCTGTCCTCTCTCTCTCATATAATCTCGCTCTCTTCTCTCTCTCTCTCAAATCATTCGAATCTAAAACACCAACATATTTGGTATTTAAAAATATAATTTACTGTATAATAGTATTTGTATAAACATCTATATAAATAAATATTGAAACAAAAACGAATGACATAAAGACAAATAAAGCATAAACCAGAAAATAGAACGAAGCCACTATTTGATCACTGATATTATTTGAAAAATTTACTGTCATTTATTCAAATGATAACGTCATTATTATTATCAACACAAAACATCTTCTTGGCGAACGTTGCCTGGTAAGCTAAAAATAATGTTCAATATTAGTAAACATGACGTATTGTGGAACAAAATGTTTACTACATAAATATTATTCAAATACTTACATATTTTCCAATATCATTCTTAGCATATTTTGTCCACATTACATAGATTATAAATTGTAATGCATAACAATTCACCCAGTCAGTAGGGTTATTAACACATTTATATATACAAAGTACATAGGAATGTTTGAACGAGATTGAACATTACCTGGACATGGTCTCTAGGATACAGGGATTTCGTTGGGTCTCAGCCATAGCTAAGACCCCATAACCTATTTTTGATAATGTAAGAAATTTAAGATGAAATATTTTAGCATTTAGGTAATTGACCTTTATGATGAAGCAATATTGTATTGTACCTGCGGCAATGTCCATCACTCGGACGTGTTGACGGCGGTCCTCTGGGACCATCTGAGTCACGTAGTCAGCAGCGATCAAGGGCCCTCTATAATTCGCACAGTCCATAAGCTGGCCAAGAGAAGAATATCACCATTCAAAGATGCTTCGTAGTTACTATTATACCTATAAATAATTAACCAAAAATATCTTGTATAAAAAGTAAAAACACGAAACATCTCAATTTCCTCAAAGAAAAATCCCCTGGAAATATCCTCAGAACAATATATATTACTCTGAGGTTATGGTTATTTTTTATAAATGTTGTCACAAGACATTTTAATTTTAATGCATATTGGGAATTTACGAGCAATCCTATTGCTTTGATGTGTTCAACTGTTCCTAGTGTTTACAGATTATTAATACCTGACATCTCGTTATTTATTAGGAAGAACTCTTTTTAAACATTTACCTGTTCTGTATTTATTTGTATTGTTTTATATTCCATCCCTTGTTGATGGACTTTAAGTTTATACTCATTCGATGTTCAAATGTTCAGTTATCATAAGAGTAATATTGAGGTTTAATATCTCACCTACACACTGGAGTTTTATGAGATGGTTGGACGGAGCTAATGTAGGGTCAGTATTTAAAGTTATGAAGACAGTCAGGTAGGGGGTGAGGGTTAAACTATAGGCGTGTCCCTTATATGCTTTACATGCAAGATGATATCAAATACCGTAACTAAGAGGTTAGCAGAACATCTAATGAAAAGAGCCTATATAGTAGCACATTTATGTGGATATCTTGTCACCTGAACTATATATATGTAAGTTGTTGTGGGTGTTTGCGCTCCCCCCCCCCTCTCTACTGCTGGTTACCACTGATCAACACGGGAAGGGGGGGGGGAGTGGCACTTAAAACCACTATGGGTAGAATCCCCTTTTTGGTACCCCGCCTTGCGCCCACAACAAGTGAAGTAAACTCGAGCCTCCTCGGCTTTTTTCAAGTGTGTCGGTGGAGAGGGAAACTCGGGTCCCTCGAGCGAGCTTGCCCAAAATAATTCACTCCCACATAAGATCAACAAGGTCGCCAACTCAGCCCTATGGTACACACGGCTCAGTAACACTTTACTCAGTGGTGGAATTATAACTTTCCCAGTATAGTACTTGCTGAATGAGTATGGTGTGCAACAGCTCACTCACTATAACCATAAAGAAAATGGAGAAGAGAGAAAGCAAACACGCTAGTAAAATCAAGGAGGTTACTTAATAATATCTACATAAACCAACAGGTGAAAAACTTCCGCTGTTCTAGTAGAATGGCAACATTTCTGGCAAATCACCTTTGGCAACGCTCCCTTCTGGCACCGCCAAAACTGTCCGTGATTATGACTTTTAACACTTATTTACCTTCTTTCACATATACGTAAGTAGA